ATTATTACATGGTTGAGGCCAGTTTTTAGGAAGCCTTTGACAACTGGGTATCGCACTTAGTAGCGTATCTGAAACGTTGAAGGAACTCATGTCCTTTCTTCTGAGATTCGAACCCTCCCCAACCAGTGTGCTACAGGCATCAGAGATATTACTCCTGAGCTATTCTGGTTGGCGATTGACCACTTGCAGGACTGCCCTGGATAATTTGATTGAACAATTATTAGTAACCAGTATAAGCTTGCAAGCTTAACTAACAGAATTCAGGCTACATCAAACATAGGATTAGAAATATTAAACTAGTTACTAACTCGTGTGCAGTTAAAGTACCCACTACCGTCCTACAGGAGGTCAGTTGCTAACTGAAATATCTCAGTTGCGAAATCTCTGACTGCAACACACTGGGCAACCTGGGTTCGAATCTCTGAAGGAGGGATATGAGTTCCTTGATGACTAGTTAGTGTCAACTAGTATAAAACGAAGGTCCAACCATCCAATATTGTTCAGCTAAGTGAATTGCACCGCCAAAATTAGTCTCTACACTGAAAAATTTGTCTTCAATTAATTTCTGTTGTTTAATAGGTGAACCGAAGTGATATATTGTTAAGTAACTGTAATCCTCTCATCTTAAGATATCAACCAACCTTACAAGTGTAATACTACTACTGTAATGACAGAAGACAAGGGTCAGGCAACAGATCCTTCATTGAAAAAATCAACAGATATTTATAGATTTTCATGTACATTATTATTAGCGTTATTGTTAGCAGAGAAGCAACCTCTTCTGATTGGTTGTTTTCTTGCTGAAGGTTACTCTGTATTGCTTGTGACTGTTTCTCAGAAAGTTAAGCCATATATCTGCGAATCGTATTTGCACACGTTAAGTCTGCTGTGATTGGTTGGTGTATTCATCAAGGTTAGGATTTGTTATTGTTTTTTTTCATGACTGTTATTAGGGACGTAAATACTGACGTCAATTGTTGCCTTCGATTTTTAGCTTGCAGTAAGGTCTCACCACACTACTACTAACAGTTCAGCAGCCTGTCTTAAACTTGATCTACTGAATAACCTACATCAATATATTGCATAACATCCTCATATCCTATTTATTTAAATCTGTTAAAGTATGACCACCATTAGTCTGGTGTACTCAGGCAAGCATTTAGAACATTTATAACTGGCGCATTCACAAGTTTCTACTAAACATGAGGAAAAGCATTATCCTAAGTGGATGGCAGATTATCCCAGTACCTAAGATGATTGTTCCTGGGTGGTGTCTTTGATCCACAAGCTGTACTCCTGAACTTTTTATAATTGGCTTTCAACTGAATGTCATAAATTTCTTCAAGGAGAAAACAGAAGAAGAGATATCATCATGATAGATTAGTATGCGCTTCAGATGAGATAGAACTGCGTCACACGATCTGCTGTCAATTAATTATTCTTTTATTTTAGATCCTGGACGTCCACTAAAAATTCTGTGCATTATATAAATTCATGGAAAATTCCCATTGTAACACATAGAAAATCAAAACGAGTGATTCAGCGAAGAGACTCTTTTCAACAACGAATTTATTATCAATCTGTACAATCGTTTATACAAATATGGTTTTTAAGAAGTTATATCCTGTTTTATAGACAAGAATATACAGTCAAATCCTATGAAATGTGACTTATCATCCGTACCCAAGAAAATACTTTACATGAGCTTGGAATTCAAAAGTGAATTAGCTTGCGATATCATTGTAAAAATGGTCTCACAGTCCATGAAAAGAAAACTCCCAGCTGCACCTTTGAAATTTAACCTTTACCGGTCAGACATTACTGTTCAATAACCTGAAGGACAAGATTCCTCGGTTGACCAAATTTATGTGTGTTTATCAATTCACCTGCTCATGAGGAGGGAGGTATATCGGTCTTTCTACTCCAGTCTTGTCCAAGAGGGTGTAAGAACACTATCCTGCATGGTTACGAAGAGGTGGAAGTGGAGCAATAAGAAGAGCGATCATTGAACATCTGGTCGATAATGATCACCCTATCTTTATAGCCTCCGCCTTTAAAGTCATCTACAAGGCAAAAAGTAATTTACCGAAATCAATACGTACCTGACTCATCTGTATTGCTGAAGCCATTTTTGGCTATCGAAACAGAAAAGCCAGATCTCTGTGTACAGAAAAAGTTCATTCAACCCCTCCAAATTTCATGGTCTTAATCCCTCTATGCTAAAGTATGTTAAACCCTAGTCGTATTTTGGCTCTACCAATTTTTCATTTTTTCATTTTGTCTATTCAATTCATTATTACGTCAATTGTTATTATTATTCCCTTGCGTTCCGAGCGGAACATAGGGCTTCAACAACACATCTCCACTTTGTTCTGTTTGCTGCCGTCCTCTTCAGCTAGGTCCACGATTGACCAAAACTCTCTCATCTCTTCCTCACATGATCTCCTCAATGTCACCCTAGCACTGACGACACACTAGTCGCTTCCCATTTGGATTCAACGCGACCACTGGCCTGGCGTGCGATGTCGTTCGGCAGCCTCCTCAATGTATGTTCGATCAAACCACCTCCACTTTCTCCTATATATTTGTTGAGCGATCGGCTCTTGCCTGTTGGTTTGTTCCACTGCAGAGTTTCTTGTTGCTTATTTCTTTCTGGCTGGCTGGCCATTTGATCTTCAGTATGGAGCCAGCGAATTGGGCAGCTGTTGATGAAAGTCTGCAAAAAGCTGTTGGAAATCCTTTTCGTGACACGCAGTGCAAGTTTCTAACCCGTATAGAAGAACTGGCTGACTGACTTGACATTGACGTTGAAAATGCGAATCTTGTTACTATTACTATTCTCACTTTGAACTGTCCCCGGTATTATTTTACTTGTTCCACTTGTCATTTTTAAATCAATTCTGTTTTGCAAAGTTAAATTCCATTTTATTAAATATCACACAATGTTACGTAAGTTTTTATATGACTCGATCTGCCTACTTATCCTAAAATTGCACACTCCTTCCAAGTTCTTTTCATCCTATGAATTATTCTACATAAAACATTAATTGCATTTTAAAGCAATTAGTTCCCTTTATGAATTTAGATAAAGCAATAAGAAGACGTAATTTTTCTGAATCATTTTGTAATATATACGCGCAACACACATTTAGAACAATCTGATCACACACGGACTTTTGTGGACACACATACATATGGAAGAGTTATCAATTTCTGCAAGTAAGAGCTTCAGAGCATATTCCTAAATGGCTCCAGAAACAAACAGAATCCCGAGAGCCCATTCATGATGAGAACAGGAGACCTAGCTCCTCTATTACGAGACATATTGAAGAGACAGGACATAAAATTGACGCTAACACACCTTTTAAATCTACCTATAAAACGTGTTTGGGGCGTATCCTAAAGTTTGTGGAAGCCCTAGATGGCAACTAGAAAGTTTAAACCACCTTAATGTGGTCAAAGCAACAATTCGTCACCACATTAGACTACCTTCCTTGGTAAACTTTGTTTTACGAGTTGATCACGGACTGATATCAGTTAGAGAACCATTGAAAACCAGGGAGTACTGGACAGCTGCTGTTTCATCCTAGTTCGGGAATCATCGGCAGTACGCACCCACCACCAGATTCGAACCCAGGACCTTCCGGTTACAAGGCAAGCTAGTATACCATTCAGCCGCTGGGACCCGATTCAATGGCTCATGAATTCAATGGTTCTCTAACTGATATCAGTCCGTGATCGACTCGTAAAACATAATTAATCCTTACAAACCAGACTGTAGAAAATTATTCTGATGCTCGCTAGTGACTTGCTACAGGTTGGAGCTTCCTGGAGTTCTAGTGAAAAGTCGTGATCAGTGAGGTCCAATTAGAAGTCACGTGTGTGGATGGATGTCCCACCAACGACAATAGTTGGGGTCGCGCTAAAATCACGAATTGATAGAAGTTAGAATTCATGAGCCATTGAATCGGGTCCCAGTGGCTGAATGGTATACGAGCTTGCCTTGTAACCGGAAGGTCTTGGGTTCGAATCCCAGTGGGTGCGTACTGCCGATGATTCCCAAACTAGGATGAAACAGCAGCTGTCCAGTACTCCCCGGTTTTCAATGGTTCTCTAACCGATATCAGTCCGTGATCAACTCGTAAAACATAACTAATCCTTACAAAACAAACTATAGAAAACTTTGTTTTGATACATACCAGGTTAGATGTACTATTACCTATGTTATTTGGTTTAGTGATCTTCATTGTTATTTTGACCTCCAATATGTCCTTATAACTTGACCTAAGTCTATTTTCTCACCTCTTATTTCTTTATTAACTTCATATATACACATTCCTATGACAAGTCCATGTGTGATCAGATTGTTCGAAACGTGTTGCTCAAGTACATTACACGATTCAGACAAATTAATTGTTTTGCCACTTGACATTTAACTATGATTATAATCAAAAAAAATTTCGTTTTAATTGCATTTCATACTACTATTATTATTATTTTATGCATTCACACCTATGATTCAATTCCCTCACCGGATATAACTTCTTAAAAATCATATGTGTATATACGATTGTACAGCTTGGTAATAAATTCATTGCTGAAAAGAGTCTCTTCGCTGAATCACTTGTTTTGATTTTCTATACATTATATAAATATTGTTCAGAATAAAGTTGTTAATATTATTATTAATAAAAGTAATTATATCCAAAAATCATGTTAATTGCTAAATATTTCAAATTTAAATCAAAAAACAATTGAACACCTTGAAAGAGAAAAAAAGGCCAAATAAAGTATAATTATATTTTAATAGTTTACACACAATGATAAGTTTTGTTATTGGTAATATTTCGAGCAAAATTACCAATAACAAAACTTATCATTGTGTGTAAACTATTAAAATATAATTATACTTTACTTGATCTAATCCACAATGCTCAAACTTTTTACTGATATTAAGAAAAAAAGGCAATTTGTTATAATTAACTAACAAAAAAACATACCTTATTTAATTCACTTGTAACAAGTCTTAAATCTTCTGTAAAGATACGTATTCTTTCTTTATATTCTTCATTCCCGTATGGTATACCAGCATCTTTGGCTAAAACTTCTAGAATACTCTTGACATAGGTATTGATCTGAAAATGAGAAGGAAGATAAAAAAGAAAGTGATAGAGAGAGAATATATGAGTAGACGATTAATTTGTGATTGGTTTTGGTTAATATTAATTAGCAACAAAATCCATGATGGGTAACTGAGTCAAGTAAGAATTATCATCTATACAGATGACACCCTTGAAAATGAATTAGGAGATATTTTCTACCAAAGGCAGTGTGTTTCCGACTTCTTTGTAGTGTGGAAGCTCTAGCTATTTGCATCGAAAAGCCGGAGCTATGTGTTCAAAAGAAGTTAAGGCACTCGGGTATAACTCAACCCCTCCTCTTACAGTTCATAAACTCTTGCATCCTACCTATTCTTCTTTATTGTTCACCCTTATTCTTTCCTGGTTTGCTTAAAAAGGACTTTGTCACAATTCGTAGAATGCTGGAGACTGTCAGTGGGATGAGTGGTGTCCCAGTGGACCACATAGTTAACATCGTTGTCGATAGGCATTTGACTTCGAGCAGTTAATTTGCTAAAGGGACTTTGTCTGACTTAAAGCATCCACTTCACCCTCAGCTTTCACCTTGCATCTCCTCAGGTAGAACAAGAAGTAACTTCAGAAAACTGTATGCTCGCACGTACAAGTATAAAAATTCTATGATACCATACTTCACACGTATTTTATGTGGTGAAAATAGCGTCAGGCAAGAATTGACTAACCTTTTTTCATCTAGTAAATAAACAATCTCCTCCATCCATCTTTATATACCTTCAAGTTTTACTTTTATTATTTCTATTATATTTATGGTCCTGTTGATTTTTTGTTTTCACTTTCATAACTGCAAACACCAACTTATCTCTATCACTGCTGTAATCTTTGTTTTTCCCCTCACCATATCATGTAAAGAGAACATCATATTCAATATTTTTAATCATGCAAGTATTTGTATACCGCATCGAAAATACTGTGTGAAACAAGCCCACGGCCATTTCCACTTGTATTATTATCATTACCTTAGCTGCTATCATTATTATTATTTCCATTTTATATGCTGCATGTTTTTTATTTTTTATTTTCTTTTATATTAACCCTATTGTAAATGTAGGAAAATTTTCTGTGTGATTAATTTTATTTATAATTTGAGGAAATTAGATGCAATATTGTGATTAATGCTGAAAATTCCATTCTGTATCACAAGTACTGTTTTTGGAATAAAGTAAATCATTATTATTATTGGTCTAGCCTTTACAACTACCATGAACCTAGTTCGGTATGTTCCTTCATCCTTCAGTTTTTTTGTTTTGTTCTCTGTGTATGTATTTTTCTCTCTTTGTCTTCTTTCAATTCATCCCATTTTTTCAGTTATAAAATCAGTTACTTTAAGTTTGTTTCCATGTTCCTCCTGATCACACTTGTGGTCCGTTTAGAATAATAATTTTACAATTATATTCTAGTCCTGGGTAATTTTTTTTCTGTGCCTCTTGTAATTTATATTCACACCTTCTAACTTACATTTCAAGTTGAAAATTTCGATTTCAATTTGTTTCCATGCTCATTTTGTTCACACCTGTAATTCGTTCCACCCCTGCATAACTTTTGTTTCTGAGCCTCTTGTAACTCATATCAAGTTGAAAATAATTATCACCGTTTATTCGCCTATTAAAATTATTTTTCCAGTTGTCAAAAATTAATTTTGAATACGTGGTAACTGTTTTCTAATCCTTTGCAATCTTATCTCTAAGCCCCTTGTAATCTTTATTCGTACCTTCAAACTTTTACATTTTCTATAGTTGGTTTGTAAGGATTAGTCTTGTTTTTACGAGTTGATCACGGATTGATATCAGTTTTTAATGGTTGCCGAACTGATATCAATCCGTGATCAACTCGTAAAATTAAGATATCCCCTAAATACTCTGGTCCAATTTGGTTATTCTTGAAGATTTGTGATGAGAAACATGAACGCCATGCATAATTAAAAAGAAACTGACAACATGGTTAAAAAGAAACAATTGCCCCTCAAACTGAAATTCAGCGGGGACGTAGCCAGTGAGGTCCTACATATAAGATTATCTAAAACCAAAAAACGGACCTATACCACTGCCACCCGTTATTTGTCATTTTCCAGCTGACCAGTTGTGACTACTGAAGAAAAAGATAAGCTACCTAACTATACCACTTCTGTATGCATTTATACATTAAGCTGCTCCTATAGAGAAAACCATATAGGGCGAACATCTAGACAGCTCAACAAACGTATTAATGAGCATCTTCCTTCATGATTCATAAAGGACCATGTAAAATCAATAAGAAGTTCTATTTATCTCATTTGAATGATAGCGGTCACTAACTGGATAAAAGAGGTGCCTTCAGAGTTTTCCAACCTTTCGAACTGAATTCGAACTCACGTTTTACACATATTTGAAGCAGTGGGAACTCGAGAGAACAATCCCAGTCCCTTTGTACACAAAAGAAGTTTGTTCTACCTTCAGCTCTCCCTTTGTATGGGTAAATTCTAATTAAAAAGCCTCCCACCCTTCCTTATTTTCCATTTCCTTAGTGCTTTTATGATATTTAATTGAACCTTCAATATTACGTAACTTTTAAGATTTGATCTAATTTATTTATTGAATTGTCTATATATACATATAAATATTACTAACTTAGTTATCCTTATCGCCACTTGCATAAACTCCTCGAATGTTTGCTCACACTAACTTTATTACCAATATTTATTCTATCAGTTATAATAATCTAATTCAATTTTAGATTTTCCCGTCGATTGATTTGACCGAAGTGCTCGATCTCAGGTTGACATGTCGGTTCTTGTGGCCCAGGTGGTCTAGTGGATAACGCTTAGGCATTTGAAACTATGGGCACTGGGTTCGAGCCTTGGCGGGAGCATCATCACTCACTGCAGAATGAAGGCCCGTCCAAATGACGAGTCCCGAATGGGACGAAATGCGCATCCTGAATTCCACTGTTAGTCATCATCGTTATTACTGACGCTCAAACATTTAACACAATATTATTATTTGACGCATAAACTCGCCATCATTGGTTAAATTTCTTGGATATAAAACTATGTAAATTAAAGTAAAGCCTGAAGACAACAATATTGTTTTGTTCTAATTGAGTGGAAGTGGAAATTAACAAGCAGTGGGACCTGACTGAATTTCCCCGGAGGCACTGAAAACGCATCCATAGACTTAAAGGGATAATTTCACACCATTACTGCGGAAAGTTTTGCAGGAAGGAAAGGTACCTACTGATTAAAAGAAAGGCGACCTTGTCAATATATCGAAGAAAGGTGACTTGATTCTTTGCAGACACTGGCATGGAATCATGCTCTTGTCCACACCAAGAAAAATATTCGACCGCGTCATCCTGAAGAGACTAAAAGATGCACTGGATGGAAAATTTCGTCCCATAGGACAAGTTGGTGTCAAGAAAAGTAAGTCATATGTGCATCTAATTGCGAACCATCAAGCAGAGCACATAAATGGAAGTCAAGTCGCTCTATGCCACAACTTCATAGATTTTGAAAAGGCCTTCAACGACAATGACTGCTTCAAAACTTCTGAGTGACCAAAATCTTCATCAACCTAGTTCCAAACATCAAGTAATTCAAAAAAGTAGGCTCAGAGAAACGTCTGAATTGAAGACAAGAGTAAGATAAGGCGCTCTACTTGCACTAATGCTGGTCCTAATTTTGATGGACTGAATCATGCGGAAGTCTGTGGGAAGCAAGAAGACAGGAATGCATTAGACTGACGACAAGACTTGAATATGTGAAACCTCCGGACGATTTGTATCTAATATCACACAAACTTGAATTTCTATAGGCGAAAATCAACAGGTTGACAGCAGGATCAGCAAAGACAGGACTTCAGTCGGACACAGAGAAGATAGACGCGATGAAGATACCTAACCAACAATAACCAGCAATAATAACTCTCAGTCGAAGAAATTTGAAAGAGGCCACTTCGTTCACTTATCCAGGCAGCATCGTTTCAACTATAAGCAGTCGGCACGGATCAGGATTTCAGGGACATCTGGGTCTTTAATTCAGGGCAGACATTCATTATTCTGGAATCACTATGAAAATATGCTGCGATGTGCACCAGGAACAAAATTTGAATCCTCAGGATCAGTCTAAAATCAGTGTTTCTATCTGGTTCAGAAACTGGGTGCATACGTTACTCAGAAGTATTTCGAACTGCAGGCCACCGCAGACTTTCAGCCACAGCTGCTTTCACCCAGCATTGAAAATCAGATAGTCAACCAAAAAGTGTTAACAACAAGAGACTCTAGTGACAAACTAATGGAGACCCTATTGTCCGACAAATATGCTGAAGTAATTGAAGATGGATTTGACACATGTTTAAGAGACCGTTGAGTAACGTTGCGTTTCAGGTCATCGCTTTAGTGCAACTCGAATAGGAAACAGAGAGCTAGACGTTGCTCCATAAGTGACATGGAGGAGATCGTGTGAGGAGGAGTGGCGTATTTAGCTTCACTCCCAATCTTTATGGAAAGAGTTAACGCCACATCTTCGCCATTGATTCTGAGCATCGCGAAGACCTTAAATAAGTAGTATACACCTCCCTACATGGCATCCATATTAACTGTCATCACCACAGGACTGGTGTACTTTCCATGTTAAACTGTACATATATATATATATATATTGTCACGGGTTCGATGGCAGCTATTTGATTGTTTACAGGATTGATAACAAGATGACGTCAGCTAGAGAACTGTTGGAAAACCAGTACTGGAGTACTGCACAGCTGCATCATACTAGTTTACGGCTCTTCATCAGTATACACTAACCATCAGGGTTCGAACACAGGACCTTCCAGTTAAGAGGCGAGCTTATAAGCTATTCAGGCACTGAGACTCGATCCAATGATCAGTCCATAAATTGCAACTTCTACCGATTCCTGATAAATCTCACTGACAAGTAACTGTCACCTTGCTTAACTTCTTGGTGGACGCAGCTGGTTACGACTTCGTACTAGAACCGTAGGTAA